CCTGGATCATGGGCTGTTTCTGGGTAGAATAGTCACAATGACCAGGTTAAATTCAGGAGCCAGGATCTTCCTCCAGGCATCTTATCTGGGTAGCAGGGGGCCAAGAAATTGCACCATCCTCTGTTGCTTTCCCAGATGCATTAGCAGGGAGCTGGATCAGAAGAGGAGCAGCTAAGATTCAAATCAGCAGCCATGACCCTGGTACTGCAAGTAGTGGCTTAACTCACTGTGTCACAATGTCAGCCTTGAAGACACATGTTTATAAACATTTCCCACAGTTCAGGGACATGATCAATCACTCCATTGGATCTTGTTGGAAGGAGGAAGAATGGACCATGCCTCACTGCCTGACCCTTCTCTGGTTTCCTCGGTCTGAATCTTCCCAAGGGAGTGCCCAGCTCTGTGTCCTGATGTTGGATTCCCTAGTGTCAGCTCTCACTGCACCTGTGTCTCTCTATATTCCCGCTTTACAGCTAAATGCTTACTTGACTGGTAGCTGTCGCCTCCACCGACTCTAATACTTGCTAAGGAATGAGTGAATGAACATGAGGTTCCTGGCTTTACAGATTTCCCTATGGCCACATACATGAAGAGTCTAACCCACAGTGTGGCTGGGACATTGAGATCTGACTAAGGACTCTCCGCTAGACCACAGCCAAGAACTCAACTGCCTTCTTTAGCCTCCTCTACCCTAACCTCTTCTGACTCACAGTCTTCCTGGCATGGAGCTAGGTGTAGGGGGATGCTAGACAGAGCCACATGGGTCAACCTGTGCTCTTAGAGCAAGAACTGGGTCACAGTGGCCATTGCCTCTGCTGACAGGGACAGAGTGGACTTGCTGTGGTTCAGCCACTTTTCCATGGGGTCATCCAGGCTGGCATGGCCCACCCTGCTCCCTCAGCAGTCCCTACATCCAGGCCAACAGAGCCTGGCCACCACTTTCCAGAAACCAAAGGGGAAAACCAGGGGACAGAAGTGCTGTTGTGGCAGAAGGGGTCCTGGGAAATGTGGTCTCATTTATCCAAGGCTGTGTGGCCACTGCCCACCCCTGAATGACTTGAGCACTTTGTTCTAGGGGCCCTCAGCTGCTGCCTGCCTAGGAATATCTCCCCCATCCTGCCCGACCCCCCTCCGCCACACCCCCTTCCCCCCACCCCCGTCTGAGTCCCTACTGTATCCTCTTCCTTGCCATGGCCCACAGTCTGCATGGGGTTAACCTCAGCTTCTTCCTTGTGCCTGCTGATTCACTTTCCTGCCTCTGGCCGGATAGAGGTTTGAGGTTTGGCTGGGTCCCTCTACTTCTACACTCCCAGCCAGAGTTCTTGACCCTTGCCTGTGAATGGGCACCTACTGCAAGCCCTCCAGCCAGACATCCTTGAGTTACAAGATACCTGAATTCTCACCCCTGCAGGAAGCCCTCACTGGCCACCTTCCAGGCCTGGCAAACATCCTCCTAGCTCCCCAGAGCTTGCCTGGAACAGGTAATATGTCTGATTTTGGCACTGTAGGGCACAGCTGGCAGAGACAACATCAGAAAGCACTATCCTGGGGCCTGGAACGGTACCATAGTGGCTAAAGTCCTCACCTTGCATGTGCCAGGATCCCATATGAGCAACCAGTTCAAGACCAAGAGGCCCTGCTAACCATCCAGCTCCCTGCTTGTGGCCTGCAAAAGCAGTCAAGAATGGCCCAAAGCCTTGGTAACCTGCACTCAGGATACCCGGAAGAAGCTCCTGGCTTCTGGGTTTGGATCAGCTCAGCTCTGGCTGTTGCGGCCACTTGGGGAGTGAATCAACGAATGGAAGATCTTCCTCTCTCTCTCTCCTCCTGCCTTTCCAATAAAAATAAAACAAACCTTAAAAAAGAAAAAGAAAGAAAATACCATTTTGGATCTCAAAGATTGCCAGTGGCTCTGTCACTTTACCCCAATCCCAGGAAAAATTAATTCATGGAGCAGCAGGAGAATGCAGCTCAGAGAGGTTAGCTGCTTAATGGAGAGCCAAGCAGAGGCTTGGCTAAGCAGAGCCAAGCAGCAGGACGGCTAAGTCAAGGACCTCCGTTGTCTGCTGAGGATTGACACCTGCCAGGCATCCCTGCAACCTGGGTTTGGCCTGCTGCTAGGGGTCTCTGACCTTTTTGGGCCTTCAGGAAAGGTGGGCAAAGGGGAGGGTTTTGCTTTGTTGCCTATCCTCCTTGTCTCCAATATCCTTCTGTAAAGATTTTGAAAGACATCTTTCAGGGGTCAGAGTTGTGGTGTAGCACACAAAGCCTCTGCCTGTAGAGCCAGCATCCCATATCGTAGCTGATTCAAGTCCCGGCTGTTCCGCTTTCAATCCAGCTCCCTGCTAAGGTATCTGGGAAAGTACCTGAGGATGGCTCAAGTGCTTAGGCCCCTGCTACCCATGTGGGAGGTCTAGAAGAAGCTCCTGGCTCCTGGCTTCAAAGTAGCCCAGGTTTGCAGCCATTTGGGGAGTGAACCAGTGGATAAGAGATTCTCTCTGTCTCCCCCTCATTCTCTCTCTGAAACTATTTTTGAATTAAAAAAAAAAGTGAATAGTTTTTTAAAAGAAGAAGAAAAGGAGGAGGGGCCAGCGCTGTGACTCAACAGGCTAATCTTTCACCTTCAAGTGTCCATTTCCCATATGGACACCAGTTTTTGTCTTAGCTGTTCCACTTCCCATCCAGTTCCCTGCTTATGGCCTGGGAAAGCAGCAAAAGACGGCCCACGTCTTTAGGACCCTACCCCCATATGGGAGACCTGGGAGAAGCTTCTGGCTCCTGCGTTTGGATTGTTTCAGCTCTAGCCATTGTGATCATTTAGGGCAGTTGGATTGGAAGTGGAACCAGCAGATGAGAAATCTTTCTCTGCCTCTCCTCTTCCTATAAATCTGCCTTTCAAATAAAAATAAATACATATTAAAAAAAAAAAACAACACAGCTCATCCACAACAGTTTGATCAGGGTAGAGGCTTGGGGTGGAGTGGGGGAGCCTCAGCCTCCATCAGAAGTTGTGAAGATGAACAGGATCCTCAAAGTGCAGTTACTAGATGTTGATCCCCTTGGCTAACATCAGCCAAGCCCTGGACAAGGCTGCTGGCTCCAGTCAGCATGAGCTCTCCTTTCTTCATGTGGGGTTTCCCATATCTGTTACACATGCAAGACTCCATTGTGCCCTGGGATGTAAGGAGGGATATGGCCTTCTTCCTGCTACTTCTCACAGCTCAGAGCAGCAGACACTCACTGAACAGACTCCAACCTGCCTGCTGACTCTATGTCTGTAGGAGCCCAGGACAGAAAGAGACTGTGCCAGGGCCTGCATTGAGCTGGGAAGGTTCCTCAGAGATTCTTACAAGCTGGGACTCAAGGGCTGCCATGAGGTTTCTTCAAAAATCTTTTCTGAGGAGCTTTTGATAGAATGGGAGAAAGATGAGATTTCAGGGTATTGTGGTGCAGCAAGTTAAGCTGCCACTTGCAATGCCAGCATGTCTTCTCAGAACACCCTTCAAGTTCTGGCTGTTCCACTTCCAATCCAACTCTCTGCTGATATATCTGGGGAAAACAGCGGAAGGTGGCCCAAGCACTGGACCCGGAGACCCTGCCACCTGCATGAGAGACTTGGATGGAATTACTGGCTCCTGGCTTTGGTCTGGCCCAGCCCCAACCATTGTGGCCATTTGAGAAAAGAACCAGCAGATAGAAGGATCTCTCTTGTCCATTTGCCTAATGATGAAGCGCACAGTAGTGAGGCAGAAACCAGTCAGGATGCAGGCGCCTGCACACTTGAGAGCTCCTAGTGGTGTTTGCTCAGTGCCTGTCCTGCCCTACATTCTTGGTCCAGGAGCCCAGGACTGTCCAGTAGACTTGCTATGATGAGGCAGATGCAGTGTGTCTGTGTGTTGTCCACTGTGAAGCTACCTGTGGTCATACAGTCAGGGAGGTGGAGGAAGTGTGCATTCACATCATTGCATCTCAACATGTTCATTGCATAACAAAATTAAACTGAAACTGGCTCCCCATGCTGGGTCCCTCGATGACCTGTGATGACTTTGAATGTGGTCTGATGCATGGTCTCCGGGCCACACCCATGAGATGCAGACTCCGCTGACCTTGGGTCGGGGCTTGAGTAGCAGCATTTTGGGAAGCTAGCCAGGTGATTCCCTGGTAAGCCAGGGTTGAGAACCACACTGGTCCAAACCATCATCCACCACACCTTCTTGTCATGGCTTTGCGTGAAACCTGTGCCTGAGTGATCCTGGGCCTTGGTGCCAACCTTCTTCCACTGATGGCCACCTGCTTGGTTTCCTGTCCACTTCTTTCAGGAGGGTCAGCCCTTACACACTGCGGGCCTCGTCCACTTCCCAGTGGGGGCCACATGCTCCTTCCTTTACCTCCAAGTCCTGCTCAGACCTGGACATGACCATAGCTGGGTTTTCTTCCCCAGGCCCTTGGACAGAGCCCAACCAGCCATTTTTCCAGGCTGGGCTAGGCTGCTGCAGGGTCCCCGCCAGGTTGAGGCTTGACCCCTTTTCTAAACAGTTTCCCTGTAAAACTGATCACGCAGATGAAGTGTACTGGTGACAAGAGTAACACCGGAGGTTTGGGTGACAAGACTAGAGCTTGGGAGAGAACCCTCCTTTCCTCCAGGAAATCTCTGAGGAGGAAGCTGCTGGAGCTGGGGACCACCCTGTACTTGCCACCTACACCCCATAAAGCAACAGGACCCACACATGGCAGCTTGTGCATTTCTTTTATTATTAAATATATAAGCAGCTTCCTATTTTTTAAATAGACATTTAAATGACTTTATATAAAATAATTCACCACTTCCAAGTATAAAAACGAGACCTCACAGTACGTGAGCGAGTATGCCCTTTCGGCTTTCCTAGAGAGAAAAGAAAGGTTTTCCTGTGCAGGGAATCGGGGGAGACACCGTCAGGGGCTCAGGGAGGCCCCTCTGGCGCCCACCAAGAGCTTCTGCAATGAGTTGGATTTTTTTTTTCACTCTTAAAATATTCTACATTGAAGGTGGAAGGGTGGGAGAGAAATGCCTTCTTCGTTTCTGTTTTATTTCCTTCCTTCCATTTTTAGATGCACTCTTTCTACTATGGAATCTAGAGTTGTGACTAGAGAGGGATGAGCCCTATGGGAAAGTTCTCCAGGCCCTGCTTTCAGCTGTCTGTCAGCTTTAGGGCAGGGGTTGGGGCCAGCAGACCCACTTCCTCAGGCAGGCGGGGAAGGCCCCTGAGCATAGTGGCCAAGAAGGGTCTCTCAGTTGGGGACCTGCTGTGGCCCAGGGAGGAAGGGCATACCAGCACCAAAGGACTAAGGGCCAGCACATAGCCCTCTCCCTTGCTGCCCAGTCTCAGGACCCCAGCCACAGGCTGGCTAGGAAGTGGAGGCCCTCAGAACAGAGCTGGGAGCACGCACCTGCATGTCCTGGTCCTGCAGCTCCCTGCCTGGCCAGAGGTGAGGTGGGATGGGGTGCGAGGGTCGGAGGGCATCACTGCCAACCAGGTCAGGGAGAAAGAGGAGCAGGAAGAGGACAGACAGGGAGCTGAGTGCCAGCAGGTGGAGCAGGAGTGATACTCCTGCCAGGACGGCCTGCTCAGCCCCAGGTACCTGCTGAGAGCAGGGCAAGGAGACTGGGCTGGGGTGGGATGGGGTCCCGGGGTGAAGGCCCCTCTCCCAGCCTCAGGAGCATACCTGTATTGCAAAGACCCAATTTCAGTCGGAGCTCACCCCAGGCCAGCATGGCGGCCCCTCTGCCTCTGTCCTCCCCTCCCTCTCTCCCTTCCCCGAGTCACTTCCCTCTCGGGAATGTCAAAGTGCAAGATGCAGAAACCTGGACAAACAACACAGCCTTGAGACCGGCTCTGGCCGGTAGCCCAGGCAGTCCTCCCCACCCTCCCCTGCCCCACCCCACCCTGGGGGAGTCAAAGGCCAAGTCAGGAGAGGGTCAGGGCCTGGGGGAGACAGGAGGGCTCCCTCTGTCAGCAGCTGAGGCCAGCTCAGTGCCGGAAACCGGGGAGAAAGTGGAGCAGTGGGAGGGAGGACGGAGGGATGCCGGTGGCGGGACGGCTGGGCAGGCTGATCAGCAGGCAGGGGTGGGTATTCACAGTGCAGTGGCTTCCTTCATGACCAGAACCTTGGCCTGGCAGGGGTTGCAGGGCAGGAGGGTGGAGGCCAGGGCCCAGTCCTCTTCATGGCATTGTGAGCCAGATCAGGCAGGTCCTGAGGGCAGGGGTGGCCTCTCCCCTCTGCCTGGCAACCAGCAAAGGACATTGAGGTCAGCAGAGGGTGTAGACCCTTGGGCCGACCCAGCCAGCAGCCAGTAGCCTCCTCTTCCCGTCTCTTGCGTTGCATACCGTGAGTGACGGGAAAATCAGGCCAATATCAGCCCCACCCTGCGAGTCACAGGCTCTTCTCTCCAGAGGCAGCTCCCTGCCTGTCCCCGATGCGGGGATCCCTGGATGCCAGGCAGGTCCTATGGGTGCGGGGCTCTTGCTGTCTTCCGTGCCTGTCCTGGGCTTTCCCAGGCCACAGGGCCATGGGAAGGAAGCTAGAGGAGGAGGGCGCAGCTCCCAAGGGGATGAGGGTCCCGAGCTGGGCTTGCCAGCTGTCCTCAAGTGCACGGGGGAGCCTCCAGGGCCCACAATAAATAGCGGAGCACAGGGTCAGTGGCGGGGGGTGGGAGGCAGGGCATCCTCCGGCACTCGCTCAGGGTTGGAGGCGGGAGTGGCATCCTCCTGTCCTCGGTTGGTTGGTTGAGGCTCTGAGGGTCGAGGCGGAGGGACCCCAGCCTGGCTGCATTGGTCCGGTTCTGGTTAGCCGGAGGTCTGGCGGTGGGCAGGCCACGTTCCCAGGAAGGAGGCTGGGGAGGGGTGGTGGTGAGTGGCCCCATGGCGTCTCCTCCCTTGGTCAGGCTGTCCCGGGTGCCCAGCTGTATGGGAGAGAAGGCAAGGCTTGTCAGTCTGGGGACAGGGGTCCCTGAGGACACAGGCGAGGAGGTGGGTGTTCCTGTGGGCTTCCTCCCACGCTCCCTCACTTTCTTGGCCACCCTAGACACCACAGAGGGACCAGGCCGGTGGCTTTCTCTGGCAGTAGCCCAAGCCTCTGGGCAGATTGGCCTCACCTCCTCTCCCTTCCTGGGGAGCCAGGGACCATAGCGGGTGGTCTGAGCAGGAATGGGAGTGGGGTCAGACAGGAGAGATGACCCCAGGATGATGCTTGTTCACTCTGGCAATGAGGACTTTATCTTCCTATTCCCACCCCAGGACCAACGGGCATCACAGACGGTCAGCCAGAGGCTACTGAAAGTCCAAGAACTTGGACTAGGCTGGGAAAGTCTAGGGGTCCCGCCATGTGGCACGCCGACCCCCGAGCTACTCAGTCTCCTCCGCTTCCTCCCAAATAGTCAAGGGCCTTGCCTCCTGCACACCCCTGGGAGTCAGAGCCCTGCCCTCTCTCTACCCTGTCCCCATCCTCATCCCTGTCTGGCATGCTCAGAATACTTTGTTCCCAGAGCAAGAAATCCCCTGGACTCTATCCAGCAGTTTGACTTTGGACCCTGTGTGAAGCCTCCCTCTCCACAATCCATAGGCCTTGTTGGACAAGCCCGTGGACAGCTAAGGAGCAGAGATGGGGCCACAGCCTCTGGCTCCCAGCCCATTCCCATGCTCTGAAGGGAAGAGAGGGGCGAACCATTGACTGGCTCTAAGCCAGGCAGGGTAGAGCCAGGCCACAGACCTTCCAGGGCATGGGCGGGTGGGAGCACCAAGTGGGCAAGCTCCAGCCTGCCGTCCTGCCTGCTGGCTCCTTGGGGCTGAGGTGCTGGTGTCTGTGTTTGCAGGGGGTCCTGAGGGCCCCTCTCAGTTGCTCTGCCTGCAGGTCTCACTGGAGCAGCATCAGCCTGATGGCCTGCAGTTAAGGCTCCTGAAAGTGTCCAGGAGCTGTGACCTTGGGGCAGAGTCGAGGAGGCCTAGATGTGGCCCCTTGCCTTGGGCTGCCTCTGCAAGTGACATCTTGAAGGGGGAAGAAGGGGAAAAAGAAAAGCTTGGATTGGGCCCTGAGATCCAGCAGTAGGAACATGAGAGTGGCCATGTAGAAAGGGTAGGAGAAAGGCTAGAGACTCTTAGGGGGCCTGGACCACTCTTACTACCCTGTCAATGTCCCCGGCTGACACACTCACTCATCCAAGCCCACTCTCTGACAAAATGGATCCTCAGTTTCCCAGTGCCACGCTCCCCTGGTTAGGAGCATGTGCCAGACAACCCCCCCATCTCTCCAGGAGGTCCCTCGACCTGTCATCTTGCATATGGGAAGACCCTAAGGCACTCACTTACATTTGCCAAGCGGTGTGACTGGAAGCTTGAAGGGTCACCCCAGGCTAGCTGGCCAGGCAGCCACTTAGCAAATGAACCAGGCAGTCAGCCAGCAAGTTAGCCAGCCAATCAGCTCATCAGTTAACAACTAGCCAGCTACCAGCTCATTGGTTGATTAGGCGGGCAGTCGCCCAACCAGCTGGTCAGCTGCTAGTCAATTAGTTAGCTGCATAATTGGTCTGGCAAATGGCCAGAGACTGTTGGCCAGGGTCACTTAGCAAGTAAGCCCCATAGCCAGTAGGTCAACATGTGCATGTTCCTGGCAGGTATGAAAATGCCCTTTCTCTGCTGGATCCTAGCAAGACAGAGGCAGTATAGGAAAGCAGAGTAGGGTCTCGCCCTGAGGGTTAGCAGTTTTCCCAGGAGCAGCCTGCATGCCCACATGTAGAATAAGACTTTCAAATATGTAAAAATGACATCCAGGTATATGTACATCAATATAGTATTAACTGGATACAAAATAACAGAAGGGAACCCATTGTGGCAGACAGCGAGGATCTGGAGGTGGGCTGTCAGGGACTGAGGAGCCAGGGCCAAGGGTCAATGAGGGGCTGGGTCTTTATCGACAGCACGGTCACTGGCATCAGATGCACTTGTCAACATATAGGGGAGGGCTGTGAAGACAATGGGGTTGGAAATCGGCTTGGTTGATGAACACAGACCAATATGATGGTCTTAACGGGGTGAGTAAGAAACTCCTGCATTTGGGTGAGAAAAGTGAAGCTGCCCAAGGGCAAGTGCAAGACAAGGTTGGGGAAATGGAACAGAACACAAGCTCAGCAGGTGATAAGAAGACGTTGCAGCTCTAGATAGCTAATGCTGTTCAGTAGGCACAGAAAAAAGAATGCTATATCAGTTACTGTGCTCTGAGCTGGCCCAGCCACACCTGTAGGACCGTGTCTAAGACTGGGTGTCCTAATTAGAGGGACACTGACAAACAAGCGTGATGAACTCTGAACACATTATATAAGGAATGTCTGAGGGACTTGACCATGTTTAGCATGGAGAATTCTGGAGACTTGGAAGACAGACTGAATATCCAGGGCTTCGTGAGTGCAGGACAGAAGGGGTGGCCTGTGTGGCCTCCTGGGAGGAAGGCCTTTCTTCCAGGATTGCCTGAAGATGGTTGTGCACTTTGGCTAGTAGGGGGCTTGCTTAGGACTGGGCATGTGCAGGAGTTAACTGGCTGACTTTCTGCCAGGAATGTATAGAGAGGGCTGGGCCCCCTTTGGAGTGGGACATTGGGTCAAATGACTTCTGAAAGTCCATCCAGGACTAAGGTTCTATGGTATCATGACTCTAAAAGGAGAGAGGGATGGAGAGCAAGTTGCCAAAAGGTGCAACTACTGGAGTGGCTGGGAAGTCACATTAAGGATGCATAGCTGGAAGTGGTTGGCCACATAGTAATTGAAAATTCCCCGGGTGCTGAAGGCCTTATTAAAGCCTTGACTGGAAGAAGAGGATTTTGGTCACTCTGGGATTGAATGTGCTGGCTAGCCCAGACACCCAGTGCCAAGATAGCCGGAGTCAGCCTGGCAAAGAGATGGTAGGATGGACCTGCAGGTGGATGGCCTAGGGAGAAGGAGAAAGAGGAGACAGGCAAGGAATTGGGCTTTGGGAGAGTTGACCATGTTACCAACAGGTAGAGCTCATTTTGAGGGGATGGAAGGAGAGGGAATCAGCCGCTTACCTGTAAAAGTGTCCATCTACACGGACAGTTCCAGCTGTCTGTCCTCCTCCTGGGTTAGGGGGCTGCAGGAGAAGCACAGGGCTAGCATAAGATTTCAGCAAGAGCAGGACAGGGAGGGGGCTCTCCTAAGCCTGTCCTATTCCACACAAGTGCCTTAGCTCTCTCAAGCTTCAAACACCCAGTGCAGGTGAACTCTGGGAAGAACCTAGGAGAAAGCCCAGGTATCTAGGCAAAAGGAGAAACCTCCCTCTTCTCCAACACCCTTCCACAGGACCGCAGTCCCAATTCCTCAGAGTACCAATCATCTAGAGTGACCATGGATTCCAAGCCAGCCCACAGCATGTCCCAGAGTCCCATCCCCAGTTCTCACCTGCCTTCAGGCCGCTCCAGGGGACATTCTGCTGAGGATGGAGGCTCTCCATGGCTCTGGGGACAGGAGAGATCAGGCTGAGTTGCTGAGTGGAAGGCGGGGGAGGAGAAGGGGCTGGTGCTCCAGCAGCAGCCAGTGCTGCCCCATGTGTTAAGGAGAGAGCTGCCAAGAGTTCTCCCAACCACCTATAACTTGAGGGTCAGCTTGAAGGTGGGGGGAATCCTAGCTCCTGCCTGCTGATGTCCCCTCTCCCACACAGGCTATATCCTTCACATCTTCTCACTCTAGTATTGTCAAGTTCCCAGAGGACAAGCATCACCTCCCCTCTTATCCGTCTGTTGGCCCGTCAACCTTCTCTCCCCTCCCTTCTGCCCCAGCCCCTGTCCAAGCTCACCAGTCTGGGCCTTCCTAATTCTGGAAACAACTTTCATTTCCACCTCCCATCCTATGCCCCACATCTCTTAGCCCTGAAGAACCCAAGCCAAACCCAAGCTATGGTGCACCAGGCTCTGCCTGGCCCTGCATCTCCTCCCCACCCCCTGCCACCAGAGGCCCCCTCCCTCCGTTGGGGCTCTTACCTGCCACCTCCACTTGTAGAACAGGAGGCCCCCAACGGCCAGCAAGACCAAGATGATGCTAGGCACCAGCAGATGGAAGGCAAAGTCCTGGGTCTGGGGTTTGGAGCTTCCTGTGGGTTCACTGCCTGTGTCAGTCAAAGGAAGGGAGTTAAGATGGCTGGGGGCCCAGGCGGCCCCCTTACGTGCACGCTCTGCACCGTCCAGCTCCGCGGGACTCCTCCGATCCCTGGTGCTCCTTCTGACCTCCAGCTGCCTGCGGAGTGGCAGGCCGGCCCAGGGGCGGATCCTGGGAAGCCAGGGCTGAGCAGAGGGCTTGCTGAAGCTGAGGGGGCCTTGTGACAAGGTTCCAGGAGCAACTGGCTCCTGGCGGACAGGGGGCAGAGCTGGTAGCTGCTGGGTCTTCTCAGGGCTATGATTCTGAGGCTGGTCGGTGGACCCCACTGAGCCCTGCCTGGCTGGGGAGGTGCGCATTGCTGCCTCCAGTTCTTCATCCTTTGCTGGTGCAGGAAGCGTTGAGGATTTTGTCAGTAGGTTGCTTGGCCCGGTGGCCTGGATGCTGTTCTCTTCTGGCCCTGGGGCACGGCCCTCATCAGCTTCTCCGGAAGCCTCTTCCAGGGCCCAGAGAGTCTTCATGGCAGAGTCCAGAATGAGCTGTCCCTCAGGAGTGAGGTCCCCGGTGGCAGGCTTTGAGGAGTGGCTTGGGGGTCTGTCCTCCACTACAGTGGTCTCTGGTGACTCCAGGCTCTGGCAGGTGCTCCTGGGTGGTCGCTGCTTGGCACTGCCTGGGTCCACTGCTCCAAGGGCCTGCTCACCAGGTAAGAGAGAGCCACCCTGTGTCTCCTCAGAGTCTCCCGAGGTCAAGCCAGCCATGGGGACTGTGGAGGGGGGAAGGGGCTGACGAGGGGAGGCCAGGTCACTGCTAGGGGTGGCTTTGGGGTACAGGCAGTTGCAATCAGGCTTGGTCACCACATCTGCAAGAACCATAGAGACAGGGAGAGAGAAAGACGGGGAGGAGATAGAGTCACCAGCCTCCAGTTCAGCTTTCCCTGAGCGGGTGGAGAGGGGAGACATGGAATGAGGGGTCCCCTCCCCTCCAATCTCAACTTGGGGTGCCATGGAAAGGATGGGGCTGGAGCAGGTGCTCATGATACTAGGCTCAGGCAGGGAAGGTGCAACCTGCAGGACCTCCAAAGCAAGAACAGAGAGCAAGGTTTAAGCGCACAGCCGGGGTTGGCGTGAGATGGACCAGAGGCAGCTGGATTTGGGATGCCTGCTGGACAGAGCCCAAACCATAGTGAGCAGCAGCCAGGCCAGCCTTCCCGGACTAGACACCCTCAAGCCCCCATGCACAGGCTGAGCCAGCCACACAGCACAGCCACAGACAAGAATAGGCTGGGTTTGGAACATGGCCCAAGTTTGAGACCTTGGCATTGACACAACAAGACTGGACCTGGTAGTTGGTAGGTTGCAGGGCCTGAACCCCAGCCTGGAGGAGCAAGGTTGAGTGTAGGAGGGCACATATGACACAGGACGTGAAGACGAGGACACGTAAGGTGCACACGTATACAGCCGAGGCAGCACTGGGAAGGTTTGACTGATGTTCAGACTTCAAATCCGGTCTTGGCCACTTAGGGGACACCCCAGGCTTCTTGGGGACTTCTGGAGCCAGAGTACATTGATGATTCATAGAAGGACTCCTGGAGCAAGGGTCTATTCTATCCACAGAGCCCCCGGATGTTCAGTCTGCCTTTCAGGGCCCATGATGGGACACTTTCATGCCAATAGGATCTCTGAGAAGGAGGGACCCCTTTTCCACTCTTTGATCTCACAGCCACTGGCATGTGCCTTCTTGATGCTCCCACATGCAGGCTTAGGTAAGTGTGCATGCACACACATGTCAGAAAAGACATGTGCCCAGGACGTCGAGGTACATAAAGCCACATATGCACACAAAACAAGCACGTCTACACACACAGGAACACGAGTAGCAACCAGGCTGCCTCCCAGGGGGATCTGTCCAGTGCAGTATTGCTCTCTCACCTTCCAATCTCCTTGCCTATATCTCCCCCATCTCCTCTACTCATCCGCCAACCCCTCCTGTGCTTACCTTGGCTAGAGCACTTAGCAAAGCTCTTATTGCAGTTCTTGCTGAAAATATTCCAGTTATCTTTCAGGAGATTCTTGGTTTCATTAAAGACATTCTTGATCTTCTCTAGCAACGAGAGTGGGGTCTCATGGAAAGTTCGGACACAGGCCTGGAAGCAGATCAGGGACCCCCTGGTTGAGCATGGTGGTGGGCTCTATGTTTACTTCATTTGTCAAATGCTCCTGTCCTCTCTCACACCTGTCTTCCTCTCTTCCCAGACCTCTGGTCTGCAGCAGAACCAAGCCTGAGATTGTAATTTGCTTTTGGAATCATTAAACATACATTTATATGCCAGGCAAATGGTAACGACCTGGGAAGCACATAAGAGATGAAGTGAGAGGGGAGGGGGGCTCCTGGTCTATTTAGGCTTGAAATTCAGCAGAGGAATTGGCATTAAAGACCCTGTTCCAATATGGTGAGTTAGTCCTACAAAAGAGTGCTGAGTGAATTGATGGTGTGTGACCAGGGAGACAAAGGTGAACTTTCGTGGAGAATCTCCATAGGGAGTCAAGTGAAAGAGGAACAAGCATTCACCAGGGGAGGGGTTGGAGAGAGAATGACCCAGGCACTAAGGACTTGGTGTGCAAAGATCTGGGGCAGGAAAGAACATGAAGTATTGCAGATCAACAAGCAGGTGGGGATGCATGCAGTACTTCCATCTAGGTGGAACGTGGCAAGAGCTGCACCCAGAGCTGGGCCAGCACAGGCCCTGCTGGCCATAAGAACTGTCCTTCACAGGGCAGGTGCTGAACATCAGAAGCATTGTTGAGGGGTGGGCAGGTCCCCTGGGCATGTGGGCACTCTGTTAACACAAGAGTGGGAATACTAGGTTGTGCAGAGCTTGAGGGAATCGCCATGTCACTCTGGCCTGTGTGCAGTGGGTCTTTAATAGATGCCAGGTAAATGTAGGAGTGAGAGGACTAGCCCTGCGCTCACAGCCAGGAACTGCCCCTCAGCGCTCCTGTCCTCTGTTGTAATGGGTGAAGCTGCCAACTGTGCCAGCATCCCATATGGCCACTGGTTCAAGTTCCAGCTGGTCCAAGTTCTGGCTGCTCCACTTTTGATTCAGCTCCCTGCTAATGTGCCTGGGAAAGCGGGGCTGGATGGCTCAAGTGTTTGGGCCTCTGTACCCCCACATGGGATGAAATTATTGGCGCCTGGATTTATTGTGTCCATTTGGGAAGAGAAATAGCAGATGGAAGATGTCTCTCTCTCCCTCTCTGTAATCCTGATTTCCAAATAAGTAAATAGATAGATAGATGATAAAAGAGAGGCAACCCTTGTCCCTGTGCTCCAGAGCTGATTGCCCTCTTTTGTACCTCATGCTTCAGACCATAGAGGCATGTGCTGACTGATGCCCCTGCTCTGCCCCCTCAGGAGCTCCCTGTCCAACCCCCACTTCCTAGGAGCCTCTCCTGGAGCCCACCCCTCACTCAATTTCATACCACATTTGAGTTCAACAGCTGCTTTCCCAATTGAGTCCAAGGACCTTACATCACAATCATGAGTTGGAAGAGGCGGCTTCTTCAAGTGCAGATTCCTAGGCTTAGCCTCAAATTCCGCCAATCAGGCTGCCTACAGGGATATGCCTTTGGGACTCTGTATTTTGAGCAAGTTGTAAACTTTGCATTTCATACCTCTCTGATTAAGCCATTTTTCTTAACTGCTTTACTGTTGGAAAGCTGCAGTTTTGGTATCTCTCATGTTACAATTTCTTCCCCCTCAACAGCACACTTCTTCCAGCTATGTCTGTCTTGTTTTGTCCCTTCGTAGAGCCAAATTCCTCCACTGGCTCTCCTGGCATTTACCTTGCTTGGCCTCCAGCAACAACCTTCACATTGCAACAATAACTGACACACATCAGCCCTGGCCTGGCTGGTCTACCCGATTTCATGTGGGAAAGCTGCCTGTACCTGCTAAACTGACACTTCCCAGGTTGCTGCTTCACATTGATGGGTCACGCCCTCTTTCGCCTGACCTCTAAATGCTGGGGGTTGAAGGGGAGGTTCTGGTCTCTACCCCCATAGCAGGCAATACTAACAGGAAAAATTAATAAAAACTGGAATTAAAAGGTTAAGTTTATTGTGGTACATAAGATATTTAAATATGTAGTTTTTCATGAGAATTACTTTCTTTTTTATTTTTTAAAGGTTATTTATTTATTTGAAAGGCAGAATAGCAGAAAGAGAGAAGGAGGGAGAGAAAATCTTCCATATGCTGGTCCACTCTCCAATGATGGCAACAGCCAAAACTGGGCCAGGCCAAAGCCAGCAACTCTACTCTGATCTCTCCCATGGGTGGCAGGGCCCAAATACATGGGCCATCTTTGTCTGCCTTTGCAGGGACCTTAGCAGGAATCTGGGTAAGAAACAGAGTAGCCGGAACCTGAAGCAACATTCTGACATGAGATGCTTAACTCATGGTAACACAAGCCAGCCTCTATGACATACATTTTCTATGAGCTTTTTAATGAAAAACTATACATTGGATTCCTTTTCTTTCCTTTCCTTTCCTTTTCCTTTTCCTTTTCCTTTCCCTTTCCAGCCAAATAAACTTATCTTCATCTTCCCCTAAATTTATTTGAAAGGTAGAAATGCAGAGAGAAAGCCCTCCTATCTGCTGGTTCATTCCCGAGAAGCCCACAATGCCTAAGGCTGGGCCAGGCCTATACTGGGAGCCCAAAACACAACCCTATCTTCATATGGGTGGCAGGGATCCAACTAATTGAGCCATCCCTCCTACCTCCCAGGATACACATTAGCAGTAAGCTGGAACTGGGAGCAAGGCTGGGACTCAAACTCAAATGCTCTGAATATGGCACATGAGTACCTTAGCAGCAGTGCCAAACACTCCAGCCTTATCTTTTAATTGCATTTCTATGAACTTCTGAAGTGCTCACGTGCAGTCTTGCAGCTTCACACCCCAGCCAGCACCACAGCTCTCCTCTCTGCATATCACTGGGCACACTAAGCAATGCCTGAAGCTGCCTGCTCAGCCAGCCCACCCGGCTTCTTCACAAACATTTACCTCTTGCTCCTTTCCCAAAACCTGCTCTGCCTACTCATGGCCCTGTTTCAGCATCACTGAAATAGCCAGGTGCTCAAGACAAGAACCAGTTGGGCCTCTTCCCTCTCCAAGGCTGAGGTTCTGCACTCCTACTGCGTGCATCAAGTCCTATTGGCTTGGTCCCTAGCCCAGGGCAGCCCAGCCAGCTGCTCCTGCCTTTGTGCATCACGCTGAGCTAAGCTGTGACTCTCTCCAGTCCATCTCCACATAGCAGTGACCACACTATAGAGATGGGGTCACTCCAAGGTTGGGCCTGGTTAGTACTTGGATGGGAGAGATGGGGTCACTCAGCTACTTGCCACTGTTTCCCTTGACTTGGAGACAAAAAGTCCCACATCTTGGAGAGCGTGAATGGTCCAGCTTCTTCCTTCTCTCCCCCTTACCCTTCATGCCTTGAAGCCTCGGCCAGGAACCCACTTTAGGTTCCTGAATGGGCTCCTTCCCATTCATGTAAGGGACTTATCTATTGCAGCTCCTGTTCTGAATGTTCTAAAATGTTCTTCCAGCCCTATTGCTTCCTAGCTCTCATCTCAGAAGCTCAAATGGACATTTTCTAGCCAGAAGTTATCCCTATGTCTTTTTCTCCTCCTTCACCTCATTTGGAGCTGTTCTCCCAGGGTCCTTTGGTTCTCATTTGTGGGTCACTCACTGAGCTTTGTAGGGTCCTCCCTCCAATTCTACTCATCCCATTTTACACAGTGCACTGTCTTACTTTGCTTGGTTAATACTCTAGCCATTGCCCCCCAATGCAAGCTCCCTGGATGTCTTGCCTGTTTGGTATACCTATTCCTCAGTGTTTAGAACTGTGTCTGGTATACCTCAGGCACTCAGCTAGTGATCTGTTGGATGAACCAGCTGCCCCTAGGGATCAGAATGATATTAACAGGATGTTGTTCCACAACTGACCACAAACTCCAGGATAGTGGGAGTCCTGTGCTACTTGATCACAAGGACAGTGTCAAGGCCTACCACAACCTCCTTCCTGCTTAAGTCCAGGCTCAAGGTGGAGGAGTGTGACTGATGACAGTGAGCATGGTCACCCTCTGCCCTGTGATCTGTGTTCCATTCAAGACCCAGGCCCAGCCTACCTTGTTGTTCTCTTCATAGTCCTGGGTATAGCAGCTTTTGAGCCTCAGTGAGAGTTCCTGGAGCTCCTGGATGGCCTTGGCATTGGGTGTGCTATCCTTGAAACGCAGGGTGTCCTCCATGATATCTTGCACCAGAAAGAAAGCCTTCTTTAGGTAGCACACGGAATCCTTCTGCAATGAAAACTGGAAACTCAGGTCTTGGGGGCGGGGGACTGGGGACACTGGGGATACTCATCCCCACAGCTGGCTCAGATGGCCCCTCTTTCCAGGCAGACAGAGACAGTGTGTCCCCTTAGGAGATAAGGAGGACACTGCCCTCACTTGGTTCTCTCTGGTCTACAGTAACTGGAACATGGATTCCAGCTAGGGATGCCTTGGGGTTTCTAGAATTCAGTTTCCATCAGGGTAGAAGTGCAGAGGGGCCATGGTCTCCAGAGGACCCCCCACCTCCTACCCTGGTGCCTCCTTCACATGCTTTGGCTACGTGACCTTCTCAAACCCTCCAGGACACAGGGGTACCAAAGGCTTCCTTATGGAACAGAGAACAACCCCAGGGTTTGTCTCCTTAAAGAGATGGTGGTCATCTCAGAGACAAGGGTTCTGTTTTAGTCCCGGATCCCCAGTGCATGGCCCAGCAGGTTCCTAATGGGGGCTCCTCAAGAAGAGAGGGAGGGAGGGGAGAATATGACCCAGGCTGGGATTTGGATGATGAGCCCAGCTCCAGCTGGAACAGAGGTATATTGAGGCCCTGGGTAAGAGGGAACAGATTCTAGGCTTCATGACTCATTTGCATGGGAGATTCAAGGTGAATAGATATGAAACCAGGGACTCATGGCACAGATGGAAAGGCATGGCAGGTGTCAGGAAGAGCCTGTGCAGAGACGGAAAGTCAGGAAGGCTTAGACAATGTGGCAGAAATACCAGGCCACAAAGCCTTTAGGGCCCTGCCCTTCTGGGGAGCGAAGCGAAGGTTGGAGCAAAGTGAAGCAAGTTGGGGCTTCAGAGGGCTCCGCCTAGTGGCAAGAATTGGGGTGTACTGGAAACAGGGAGGCCAGATTGGGGGTCCAAACCTAGGATCTGGCGTCATGTGGGGTAGGAAGAAGGGCTGGACTTCTCTAGTAGATGGATGTGTCAACCTCAAAAAAGGGTGTGATCTGGAAGGGGAGTCACAGGCCCCAGAGCTGCCCTGCTAGGGGTTCCAACTGGGCCTCATCCACCTACCAGCTACGCTCCCATGACCACTTCATGGACAGCAAACAATACCAGCATTCGTGAACCACACAGTGGTGTCACATGATCTGTATTGGAAAAGTGCCTGGCACTTGGTAAGCACTCAGTGGGAATGGCAGGGAACCCACATCCCAGCTCCTGGCACCCTAGAGTTGAACACCCAGGGGCCTTCTCATCCTCACCCTCTCCAGCCCTAGGACATGCATATCGCCATGTGCACTGCACCCCACCTGGTACACACAAGTCTCACAGATAGCTATCACTTACCAGCTGCTCCTGGTCTACAAATTCAAAGGCAATCTGGCATGACGTCTCCATCTGGCTGTCGATCTGCAAGAGAGAACAGGCCTGGAGTTTCAGGGTGTCCAAGGCTCAGTCAACACAGCTTCAGAACAGGGAGCTAGTTTCTAGGTAGACCAGGATGTGAGCTTCATCCATCTGCCCTGGTAAGACTGAGCCAAGACTAGAAGAAGTTGTGGGTCTTTCACACGCCTAGGGGAGAGCTGCAAAACAACAAAGACCAGCTGCTCCGTCTACCTCCCAGACATAAGCTTGATGCAGGCAGGGGGAACTCAATGGGAATGGCAGGGAACCCACGTCCCAGCTCCTGCCACCCTAGAGTTGAACACCCAGGGGCCTTCTCATCCTTACCCTCCCCAGCTCTAGGACCTGATTCTGCCTGGCCAGACTGGGTCTGGGGTTGCTGACCTGAATAGAATCTAGAGACCCGGCCAGCATTGTGAGGGATGAGGGCTGCACATCTGGGTGAGGTCTCTGGTGCCAGGCTCGGAGCCTATCAGTGAGTCCAGGACATCTGGACATGCAGGCACACTGGGCTGGCTTCCCAGAGGAGGCATCCCCCTAGGACAGCAGGCTTTGGAACTTTCTCAGGGGGCACAGTGGACATAGTTGGGCTACGTAAGCTCACCCACCCCATGTGCTGCCACAGGGGAGACAGAGAGGCTTGCAGGCAGAGGGACACTGGAATCCCTCCCTTCGAAAGGTGATGGGGAGAAGACATGATGTAGCTGGTTGGGACCTACCAGTCACTTCTTGGACAGCCCTGTGCCCTGCCTACCCTCTCTCTGACCCTGCTCCCTGACTCCTGCCTCAGCTTCTGCAGCAGGAAGAGATAGGCTGAGGCTTGGCTGGCCACTCACCAGCTGCTGCAGCGACTGTAGGTGTCCACTGGCGATCATGTGGCTACAGACTTCCGGCACCTCCTCGGTGACACTCCGGCTCACCAGGAGACAGACCAGCAGCATACAGGGGCCCAGCCATGTCTGTGGCAGAGAAGACGTCATTTCTCCTTGGCTCCCTCTTTCCCCAGACACCCTTGTTCCCTGTGGAAGGTCAAAAAACAGAATCCTGGGAACTGCAATGCCATAAACTTTGCCCCATACCCTAGGACGTAGTATTTTTTTCCCCTTGCCCTGCACTCCAAATACAATTTTCCTAAGATTTCCTAGAAGCCATAGTACAAACTCACTCTCCAGTTATGACAACCTAAATATCATCTTTGCCAAGCCACCTGTCCCTATGAGCCCCAGGCAGCCTGACCTCCTCATGATGACAAGGATGGTATGTCTGCTAGGCTAGACTCTATCTACCCAGGAAGCTCCCTGAAGGCAGAAGTTGCTCTCATTTCATAACCATGACTCTGTCTATGCAACATCAGCACCAAGCCAAGTAGCACCATGAAGTTCACACTCACGCACTAGGCTTCACAACTGCAAGCCAGACACATGTGCCCCAAACAAGCCCTTCCTGTCACCGGAAGCCACACAGACCTGGCTCTGCTATTAGACAAAACCAGGGGACCCAACTCAGTTTCACTGGGAAGTTGGCTCATGCTAGAGATCTCCTGGAGCCCAGCTGATGCAGAGTCATTCCTGGTGGGCACCTTCCTAGGGGCATTCCCAGCAGCCTCTGTAGCCAGCCATCTGGCTCTTAGAGTGGCACAGAAATTTGCTCCCCACTCTGCACTCCCACCTGGCCCAGCAGGTGGTCAGTCCCCAGATTACTGGACTAGTTCCTGACACCTTGCCTTTCCCCTCCCCATGTCCCTCCTTCTTGTTCATCAATGTCCTTCAGCCATCCTTCTCCCTGATTCTAAGGAGTCCCTCCATCCCAGGCTAGAGACACATGCTTTGCTTAGCTACGAGTTGCTGCTTAGGCTACTCCTGTGCCTCCTGGCAACTGATGCCCACAGATTCAGGGAAAAGTTGGCAGAGTGGGTTCAAAGCTGGCACCTCCCTGGGCTCTGGGCTTTGCCTCAACAATCCAGGCGATGAGGCAAACACTACAAATAAGTAGCACATTGGAAAAACCCAGGGAGACTAAGGAAGTCAACAACAACGTGCTGATTTACACCTAACCAAAAGCCCAGATCTTTGGCAGCTCTTTCCAGGCAGAAGAGACAGCTCTGGCAGGGATGGTGGGGAGAGGATCTGGCCCAGCCTGGGGCACAGAGACTGCTGACAAGGGGCAGAGGAGTCACGGTGATGGTGGCAGGGCAGGGCGGGGCGGGGAGAGGAGAGGGGACCTCAGGCTCTGGAACAACTGAGGAGGTATCCCCCAGGAAACCCAGACTGAGAACTTATTGGAGGAAACTGGCCACACAGAAGACATCTGCCTCAAGTTGCCTGTCTTTAAAGCTGGGAGGCCCTGATGAAGGAAGAACCAGCTGGGGCAGGCAATGCCAGGAAGACAGCCTCCCCTCCAGACATGCACATGGTGTGAAATCAGGTGCAGCAGCACTTGGCTTGGGAGCCACTTCTGGGGGCTTTGCACAGCCACCACACAGGAGGCTGACCTTGCTCCTGGGTAATGACCCGGTTCTATCTCAAAGGAAGCTCAGGTTGGGCATCCGAGGGTTAACACTCCAGCCTGCATCTGGCTGGGCAGACTCTGTTAAGTTCTTCCTCCCACCCAGCAGCCCTGGGAACAGCCCTGGGAAGGGACTCTCCGCTGCAGGCTCAGAGGGATGCTTGGATGCCGGTTCAGCCCGACTGTCTATCCTAGTCAGCCACCAGCCGACTCCAATGCCCCCTTCAACAAGGGCTCTGAGAGAACTTGCCAAGATCCGACCCTTGGGCTGCTTCCTTGTCTAACCCTAGCCCCCTTCTCTTTCCTCCTGAAATTTCTTCCTCTCCCCTCACACACTCATCTCCAGTCCCTTATCTTCACCTCCTTGCTCACAGCCCATTCCTTCTCCCTGTCTCTCTCAACACCACCTTCTGACTCCATCAGGTGCTTCCTTCCCTGGAGATCCACTCTACTCCCCCACCTCAAACCCGCCACTCCTTGCATTCACTTGCAACACTCTTCTTTGCCCTGCAAAAAAATATTTCTTTTTTCTGCTCTTCTCTGCCAGGCTTCTCCTTCCCCACTCCCAACCTCCAAGATTCTTCAGAAGCCAGTACTTGAGGGATGCCAACCCCCTGTTTGCCAGGTACCGGGGCAGCTACTGCCATTGTTGGGCAGCGGGTCCCCTAAGCTGTCCGGATTCCACAAAACTAAACTCCTTTCCACCTTCTCTCCAACAACCTGAAGCCCAGCATTGCCCCAGTTACTCCAACCAGAGCACGCAAAAAATGAGGTGCAGGGATAGCCGCAGAGGACCTTGGAGCCTGTCCCCTTAACCCCCGCAGCCACTTAAAGTCTCCAACAGCCCCTGCATATGGGGGCAGAACAAGTAGCGGCTTGCCCATGTCCTTCCCTGCTGCCAGTGGGATGGCCGCCGAACTGTCCCCCTCCAGAAGCGCTCCTCTTCAGCTAGACCAGCAAGCACGTGTGTGGCCCCAAGGAGGTGTCCAGTGCGGGAGGCGCCAGACTAGATGCACCAGTATTCTGCTTGGAGAGAGGCAGGGTGTCCGGGCAGATATGCGGCCTCCACCCCTGGCTGCAAACTCCTGTCTCCCGTCAGTGGCTGGCTCAGCGTTCCCCTCCGCGCAATGGGGGCGGGTATCCTTCTTTCTCCCGGGAAAGCGCTACAAGCAGTGGCAGCAGCTGCAGGGCCGCCGAGGATCCGGCGTAGTCCGTGCGCAAAAGGGGTCGTTGCGCCTGGACAGCCCGTGCGCCCCATGCTTTGGCCTCCGAGCAGCCCGTGCCCTGCCTGGCCGAGCCCCGCACCTTGGTCGCTGCTTACCATGGGAGGGCAGCGCCCGGCGGCGCCCCGCGCGGTCATACGGGCAGCTGGGTCCCGGTCGGGCGCGGTGGCCGTGCTCACTCTCTCGCGCGCTCCTTCTCTCGCCGGCCGCTGCGCAGTAGGCTCTCGGGCCGAGGGCCGCGTCGCTGTTCGGACTACAGAGAGCGGTGGCGGCGCCGAAAAGACCCAGGCGAACTTTCACTTTCCTCGGGCCGAACGTCTCTGGCCAGCCCTCGGCACAGCCTTTTAAACGGCAGGCTCGCAGGGCATGTGGTTTATGGGAAATCACCTTGGACAGGCGCCAGAAACACACCAACACACACACACACACACATGCACACGCGCACACACGGACACAGGCGCGCACACTGCCGAGGCCCACTGAATCGCCTCCCCTCCCCCAGCCGCCGGCTAGTCGCCCGCTCGCTCTCTTGCTAGCTCTCTCGGCTTCCCAGTGGCCCTCTCTTCTTCTCGGCTCTCCCCTCCTCGGGCTCCGCCGCCCCCAACCCCGCCCTTCCTCGCGCCCTCGGCAGCGGCGGGACGGAGACTTTCCTGCTGAGCTCTGCGCGCCGAGGCGATGCTGTGCTCCTTTTGTCAATGCTTGTCCCAAGGGACTTTCCCTTTAGGCCTGGAAAAAAGCCTCAGTCGGAGCAGGAAATGGGCCGACAGCAAGAGACAGGCGTTTGGGAGGGAGAACGAGCCCTCGGAAGACTGCCTTCTCGCTGCCGCTAGCTGCAGCCCGGCGTGGAGCCCGTGGAGCCCGTGGAGCCCGTAGAGCCGGAGGAGCCAGTAGCTTTGCAGGCAGTCCCATCCTTTCCATGTAACCTCACCTACCCCTCGCAGCCTGCCCAGCCTCTTTAGGCTCCTGTCTAGGGGCAGGAAAGCTAGCTACCTGCCCAGAAGGGGAGCGCTGAACCCTGTGATCAGGAGCTGCCAGGCTTGGTCCCTGGATGCCAGAGGGCACTCCAAGCACTTGATCCACAGATGATGTAAATACTGGCTGGTGCCCATGCTCCCTCCTGGCAGCCCAGCCCAGCTGGGGTTGGTGAAACCAGTGCCGGGGGCCCTTAGATTTTGTGCACTGGCGATTTTAAAATGCATTGGCAGAGATGATTGGTCATCTTTTGTTTTTACACAAGTGGAGGAACGTAAGTCAAGTCTGATCACAGAAGCCTGCCGGTTGTAATGATGGCTTTGGGAGCCTTCTCTCCCTTCGGTCCACTCTGATTCAGTGCATTTCAGCCTCTGTGGGGTCCCCCCCAACACACACCCCAGGGAAATGCTTGCTGTATGACCTGGCCTGAGTGGGGTTCTCTTGCCCTGAGACATCCTTGCTTTATCCCTGGAATACTTGTACACCTTGGAGGCCTTTGCTCCCAGGGTCCCCCTGCTTGGACTGCTCCTTTCCCCACTTGTGCTTAGGGCAGACGCTTCTCCCCCAAGAGCTGAAACCACATCTCTTCCACAACAGCCTTTTGCAAGTCCCCACACAGCTCAATGATTTTTCTTCTGGTGTTTCCCCAAACTGTGGCTCATTCCTCCCCTGTACTGGCCCTGGTACTTGTTTATCTGTCATTCTTGCTACACATGCTTTTTTAACGCATGGAAAGCAGCATGCCTTTCTTCTGCCTCCACCCTGGACTCAACTTCTTGCAGGTGCCATGCATGCTCACTTCTGAATCAACAGTGTTCACACCTAGAAGGTATCCAGGTAATGGCGGTTGAGGTAAATGAGGCTGTTAGAGGTTAACTTGTTCATGCAGTGAAGGTATGCGAGAATCTGCTCTGAGCTGGGGGCTGTGCTGGATTGGGGGTGAGGGGCATCTAACACTGGGCCACCTGACATGATCCCTCTTTACATGGGCTTGTGAGGCCTGGAGCAGAGAAACACCCAGCCAGAGGTCCAAGGTTTACAACCGCCCCTCCTCCCCCAGCCCTGCACCAAAGGAAAGTTCTTTTAAGTGGTCCCTGTGCAATAATAACTGAAGGCAACA